CATTGTTCTCACCCTAAATCCAAAACACAGCACTGTACCAGCTACTAGGAAGGAAATTAACTCTATCCCTGCCGAAACCAGAACAATAGAATATAACCTTTGAAACTCTTTACCCTGTGACTGAGGAAAGTCCATCTGCTGTTGTGAGCCATCTTTACAGGTAATACAGCTCAAAGTCTCGGAGGCTGTCCCTTAAATGGCAGGCATACTGGCTTTCATCTGTAAACATTTTGTATAGGTAAATAACTTATGAAATAGAAATATGGGTAATTCTGATGTAGAGGACAATAGGAAGAGGAGCGGGGCTGAGGAAACGGAGGAACGTGTGTGTGCTGTAGGACCTCTGTGTTCATGCATGGAAGATACGTATGAAAGTGTCCTGAAAATGGTACCATCACTTTGGATTTAAAGACCATGTTTAAACGGGTGATGGACGCACCTGCTTGCGGCTGCGTGGGACATACTGTTAAGAAAAGAGATGTTAGGAAAGGGGTTGCCATTTTATGCCACTTGTCAAAACCATTATCCCCATATCACCGACTGGGGGCTTTACAAGAGTTTGTTCTTTTATTTTTCCAGTATTATTCTGCCTAATGGTTGTTGCTTATTAATATTGCTCAAGGAATTTTGCATCATTCAAAGGGCATGTTTTGCATTAGAGGGGGAATGTCCAGCTGACTGTTGACAGGATACCATTAAGCAATGCCTTCGCGTCTACTAAAGAAAATAATCTGAAATACATACCAAATACAAAGGTTTTGGAGGACCAGAACAATCTGACTTATTACTTGTTACTTACATTCTCTTTTCCAGAGAGTGAAAATGCCGGAAATAAAGGAGAGGAGCTACTTTGCACAATTTCCGTGATTTTACAGATTAAATTTCAAATTTGTAGAAATCTGCCATGGGAAGGGGCCGCTGGTGAAGCTGGGGCCTCGTCCGCTCAGACGGTGTCGCAGGGAGCGGCCAAAGCTGGAACCAGTTCCCAAAGCGTTCATGGTCTCGTGGTTCACCAGGACTTTGGTTCAAGACATCAGGCTCTAATCAGTGAGTTTTGGGAGACGCGCACGCGGCCGCATGGGCCATCTCGAATGGTGTTTGTCTGTCGGTAAGGAGCTGGTCCGTCTGCCCCGTCATGTCGACAGTCCCATGTGCTGGAGAGGATGCAGGTATGAAACTGGGCTTTTCCTCCATCAAATAAAACACTTTAAATCAAGTTCGACGATGACTTGATTACTGGAGATGAACAGTGCACGTACTCAGAGACCAACATTAAGCGGTCTTCGAGGTGGTGGGGAGAGTATCTGTACCACTACCCCTGTTCTGTCTCCTTGCATTTTGGATTGGGCCCCCACGTGAACACTGTAGATATAGCAGCTGTTGGACCGTTTCCATCACACACCAGCAGACATTGCCCAGCAAGAAAAAAGTTGTATTTGGTTTTTCAATGTGCAAGATAACAGGACAGAAAGACTTCGGGTGGCTTACGGCTGTAATATGTAATTTTTATTTTAAGTCTATTGATTTATTTGTTCAGTTTTATGTTTGTATCTCGACAGCGTGTTCCCTCTACTTCATACAGCTGTTTTTCAAAGTATGAGTTTTCCATCGTGCTAGTGCTGAACTTCATGGCTCCATACAGTAGAATTTAGATATTTATGACAAATAAGGGGTATTTTCAAGTGGCCATCCAGCATTGCAGTATTTGTTATGAAATAAGGACAGACTTTTGGATTCTGATGTTACTTTTTACTCACTTAGCACTCATGTAATCTTAATTACACCGCTTAAATTAATTCTCACTTAAATGAGAAAAAAATAGGACAGTGTTGGCCCCATTTCATTTTTATCCAGAATGATAGAATGGTTTATTCAGTCAGCAAGGAGTCTCAGAATAATACAGATTTATCTTCTTTTGCAAGAGTATGATAAATTTGATTAATCTGATCTTGTGGTCACGAAGATTAGTCCATCTGATGTGGCACAGAGCTGTTTGATGATTGTACTAGGAGGGGTTGTTTTGAGGCCAAGACCTCTCTCTGCAGGTGCTGTGCAGGCAATGGTGACTTCTGCTGTTAAATGTCAGGCTCTTCTCTAGTTCTGCTTCCCACACTGGACATGGCTCCAGCCTTACCCTGCCTGCTCACGTGGAGATGTTGCAAGCTTCAAGAGCTCGAAAGGGAAAGTTCAGATTTGGCCCTGAGCTTGGACAATGCCAGTGGTAGATCCAAGACTGAAACCACCAAGAGATCAGGTCTTCCCTTCCTGCGTGAGTGCTTCTGGCTTATTTCACATTAGAGCATGTTTGTGTTTCTGCTGGATGGCAACAAGATCCTGGAGTCCACCATTAGCTTGACTAAGAGTTGGGTCAGGAGTCCCCTGCGTGGCCGTCTGCTCCCGCTTGCAGGAAGGGAGCCCGGCGGAGCCATCCGCAGCAGTGAGGGGGAGGTGAAGTGGCAGAGACCTCGGTGACATCCTTTGCAAACTGGGCGGTATGGCATTTGGAGCCTGTGCAAAAATTTCACTGGGGGGCAAAACCATTAAGATGGTATTCCGTAAGTGTCCGAAATGGTGGATATCCCAAAGTGTCTGAGATGGTCTGGTTGCGCTGTACCCCGGGTGCCTGGAGACACCCTGGAAGGTGTGCTGCTTCACCAGGGACTTCTCCAATGCTTTTCCCATCTTTTCACCTGCTAAGCAAAGCCTTCAACGTGGCAACGAGCAAGAGGGACAAAGCACAGCTCGGGTCTCTTACACAGCACAAGGCTTTGTGTCATCTGAGTTATAAGAAATCAGGTTACTGCAAGAGGTATCTCCTTGCGAAGGAGATGTGCCCAAACCTATCTGACACCTGAGGCCGCCTGAAATCAAACCGCGGTGCTGCCTGTTGAATATGCTACTTTGGACCCGCTGGAACTGAGCAGACATCCAAGAAGGACTTGGAGGCTAAATTTTGTTTTTGGCTTGGTTGAAAGGTACTTGGGTCTTTTGAACATTTCTGGTGTGTCAAAAAACACAAAAACGTAGAAAATTTCACACGGGGACCTTGTGTCCCATCCCCTTCCCCATCTCACCTTGATTTCTGGTACTTGCTGTTTGGTTTGGCTAAAATCAGGAGTGAAAGGATAGTATTTCTAATTTCTCATTCTGACCCAGACCAGGAAATGTGGAGAAGAATTTCTAATCTTTCTAAGCTGAATCTCTTTTTTTCAAGCCTGTAAGCAGGTAAAGGGAAATTTGCTTTTTGATCTAAGAGACAGATATCCAAAACACTTCACTCACCTTGGGTAAAAAAATATTTTGAGATGCTCCAGCCTTTAAATATTCTGGCTCCTGGAAGCAAAGAACTTTGTACTTTTATTTTAATTAAAGTTCATTCTTGGGTAATCAATCTTTGCTTTTCTAATCGAATATAGTGTGTGTGATGTGGGACTTTCCAAAACTGACATCTGATTTGGTTGCTGCGTTCTCTGTCGCGCTGGCCCTGATGGAGGGGCTAACAGTTCCCTGTCATCTTTCCAAAGTTCATCTTCCTATGCAGTGTACTTCGTTACCTTCTTCATTAACAAAGAGAAAATTATTAGTTTGTGGGGTTTTCTGGAACAGAGAAAACTTCCTGTGAAGTTTGTCATCTTACATTTGATTTAAAAATGTAAGGGATTAGAGGGGGTTGAAAGCAAACAAAAATATTTGTATAAGTTATCTGCTTTCCACAGAAATTGTCCATTTTTTTTGTGATTTACGGAAAATTGCTTTGCTCTCTTCTTTCTCCTCTGCACTGCTTCCTCCCTCGTCTCATCTGAACAACTTTTTCTCCACTTTGCAGACAAAGTTTTTCTGTTTTCTGCTGAAGAAAGCCATGTATCATTTGGTGGTTTTTTTCCTTTGGAGGCAAAGTGGAAATTTCTCTCGCATCTGCTATTTTTCCTCCGCAAGCATCCTCATTTTCCTGAGCCCTTTTACAGTGCCTCCTTGTTAGGGGACAGAATCATTCCAGTGATAACTTAGATCTGTTTGTTTTGGGAGAAAATGTGAATTCTTGCTCACGAGGCACCGCTTCTTTTGCGTTTTCCCACGGCAGATCTGCATTCCCGGGCACGGTGGGTTTCCCCCACGGACCTTTATCATCTCCTGGCTGCATGGACCGTTACTGGCTTGGGGATGAAGTGTGAAGGGCGGAAACTCGCTGTGCGCAGCCCGAGTGTCGGGAGATGCTGCGTCTGCTCCGCTCCTGCCCCAGCCCGACATCCTGCGCGACTTGCAAGCAAATCACTCGGTCTCTTTGCATCGCCGTACCTAGCCATCTTTGTTCGGGGTAATTACAGCTTCCTTGCTCGTCGGGTGCTGGTAGGGGAACTTCAAGCTTCGGTGGTGGATTCACACGTCGAAGTGGAGCCCTGCGTGCTGTGCTGTGCTCCACGAGAGGAAGCAGCTTGTGGGAAAGGTATGAACCAGAAAAACAAATGGTGCCTCGAAAAAGCTGCCGCAGGCTCTGAGCAAGCTGAGGAGGGGAGTTCCTGAGATGGAACTGCACGAAACCGCAGGAGCCGCTGTGCAGACGGGCGCCAGGGTGCGTTGCTGCTGGGAGATGCAGCTCCTTGGGGGGGGGACTCGGGGATTGGGGGGCACTGTGTCTGTGCCTTCATCCCTGGCAGCCTGGCCTTCACTTCTATTTAAAAGCATGTCTGGGTGCTGCACCCTGTTAAGTAGTGTATCTGGGAAATAATCGGCCAGAGGCTGGAGCTTACCCCCATGCCAGAGCCGTCTCTCAGATCTTCAGCGGCGCAGAACTCCCCGGCTTGGTTCATGTTTCTCATGATACATAACTTGCTTGAGCTTTATTGCTTAGGTAGCCATAAACTCTAGAGCTTCAGATACCTCCCCGCTCTATTTCTAGCCAGCAGCAAGCCCTGCATTAGTCACTTCGTGATGCTCCAAGCCGTTGCACAGGAGGAGGCGGTGGAAAGCCTGCCAGTCCCGGTGCGGTCGGACACCTCCAGCTGGTTCTTATTACAAGCTGGACAGTGTGTGAGGTGTGTCCTGTCCAGGCGTTTAAACATTATCTCGGGTCATGGGGAAAGCAGATCTTAGACAGTTAAAGCACCTGAAGACAGCGCAGGAGGTGAGGAATATGGGAAATACTTTTTCATGGTGAGATGGGTAGGCTGGAATGGATAAACTTTTGGGAAGCAGAGACTGTGCCAAGGACTCCCGCAGCTGTTAGTGGAGGGCTACAAAAATTTTAGGCTCCCTGATCTAAGTTTTCATCTTCCAGCTGGGCTGCAAGAAGAGAATTTTTGTCTTGGAAATGACTTCAGGGTAGAAGCATTAGAAAAATGCAGTTCTCCATCTTCACATCTTGCCATGCTGAATGAAGCCTTCTGCAGGGCAGACCCTGCTGTCCACCTGACACGGGATGGTTTCTAGCGTGAGGAAGACGACGGCGCTTTCCCACTGTAGGGGAATATAGCCAGAATGAGGTTGTGAGGTGGGAGGTGGTTGGCAGGGTGTAGCCAGACCTGCCAGCGGCTGCTTCAGTGGCAGTGGTTGGAGAAGAGCTTTATCAAATATACCAAAGGTAACACGCTGTCGGCTGTCTTGATGCCAGTGTTGTAAAAGCGTGTGTGTATATACGTATATACACACACAACACTTGCAGGGAGAATGGACATCAGCATGTGAAGAAATGAATACACTTTGGCAAAGAAGGAATACTTTTTATCAGCCAAACTAGAAATACAGTAATATTCAATATGTTAACATTGTCCCTTTCCTTACAGCGCTTGATACATGCTTTATACCCAGAAGAGGCGTGGGATGAAGCCAAGGCTGGGAAACTTTCCCCGTGGCAGTGGGGATGCGGAGGAGGTTTCTGGTGGAGCAGCAGTTGATGGTCCGCACACCCAGCAGCTCCGGTGCTCCCGACCAGCGGCTGGGCGACGGCCAAGGGAAAGCTCTGGCCATCCGGCGGCTGTTGGGGTGTCTAACGTGACAAGGGAACATCACAGGGAAATGTGGAAGGCAGACGGTCGAGTTAGTCCCGAATCTGAATTCAGGTTCACAGCCACGTGCTTTGCAACCGGTAAAGATGAAGATCTTAATTTTGGCATTTCCTGTGCATTCTGCAGCCAGAACACAGCCCGCGTCTGCTCTGTGTAAGAGCCTTGGGAACGCTGGTGTGCCGGGTGTGTATTTTTAGGTCACTTCCAGAGAAGTGGATTCGCTTCGATGGAACCAGCCCACCGCCTCGGCACTCAGCCGTGTTGTGGTGAGGATGAAGGACAGTTTCCACCTCACATCGTCTCGCTGTCGCAGGTTTTGACTTTGCTCACACGCCTGCTGCTGCTTGATCTATCTTCACTGACGTTCAGACTCTGACCCTGCCAAGATCGTTATCACACCATCTCTGGATTTCAGTGGCCAAACGCTCAAAAGCCGGGGCCCCCAGCAAGGGCTTCCTCTGCCTAACACAAAATAAAGACCAACCTCTGCTGAACTGACTCATCCCGCTGTAATCCCTCTCTTCAGGAGGTCTCTCTGCCTTCCTGGAACCGCCTGGTTCATTAGGAATCGGGCTTTTGAATGTGTTAGAACTGTAGACCTCCTATTCCCACAGGCAAGTGGGGGAGTGGCAGAATGGATGTGCATATTGTGTCTTAATAATCTGGTCTTCTGGGGTTGTCAGACTGTTTGAAGGAGGTTTGAAACGGGGACCAGTTTTATCTCACACCAGGCATTGGGTCCTCACTTAACTAACTGTGCAACTCCATATAGATTTCTCAACCTAAAATATAGTACTATACAGTAATCGGATATTATTTAGAAAGTATTCGGTAAGTAACATCTGCTGCCCTGAAAATTTAATTAAGGGTGTTAAATAGGAGTTTAAAGAAGACAGGTTTGGGGGAAAAAAAATCTTTGAAGGTACCTATTTTAGCTCAGATTTCAAATTTAAATTTCCTCAAAGATGTTGGCAGGATTCATTTCTCCTTTGTACATGTAACATATTTGTTCATATATGCCATTATACATCGCCTTTCAGGCTGAATATTATACTGGAATACAGCAAAAGCCAAATTTAAGATATGAAACTGGAGGAGACCATATTTCATACTGCATAAAATGCACCTCTGGAATTTTCAGTTCTTCTTTTCTGCAGTATTACAAATGCCTTTATAAAGTATCATGGCTGATGAGCTTAAAAAAAAAAAAAACACCACCTGTGGCTTTGGATATATTCACTTCAAGTTTGTGGTTAATATTTCCCAGCCTGCTTAGAGGTGAGTGTAAGTTCAGTCATCGCACCAGTCTCTGCTGGTGTTTCTAAATGACTCTGATAAAAGATTGTGAAAAATGGACCTGTGGTAAGTTGCATCATCCTTGTTATGCATTTTAAGATGGGGACACAAGCCAAGCTGAGTGTCTGGGTCACGCTCAGCCTTCCCTTGCACTCATTCTCCATCCCTGCAGCAGCCACCGGTGCAGTTCAGCCGGCGCAGCCCACGGTGGGTGCAAACCCACTGCGTTCTGCTGTGAATTAATTGCATAACCGTGCATCCCTAGCCATGCTGCTTTCCTCCTTTGCACTAGAAATTTTGCATTAGCTAATGGTCATGAAGACACCAGATTTCTCTTTGATGGAAGATAAAACGCTGCTCTGGGTGGAAGTGCCCAGCCACTGTGTGCAGGACCCCCATCAGCTACAAGTGTTGAAGTGGTGTGAGACCGGTCTGAACCGAGAAATCCTGGAACAGCACTTCACTTTCTCACTGCCTGTGTCCTGAACTGTGCGACCGCTCTTTAAACCCCTTTCTTTCCAAAATACAAAGAGCTTTTTCCTTCTCAATCTTTGAGAGGTTTTACTTTAACCTCATTAAACTTCATTGCCAAAATCCAAAGCAGATTGAGATGAAGCAGCTGATACGTGAGAATACGAGTTACAAATTGGTGCTGAAGAAACGCTTGCAATAAGACAGCCTCTCCATACGCATCTTTAACCAACGTACATCACCGTGAGGTACAATAGGAAGAAGCGGGGAGTGCCTGGTTCGGCAGAGTTACATTAGAAATTAAACCAAGCCCAGTCTCTCTGTGTACAGCCAGGGCTGTTGTCTGCTGGCTCGTTGCATGTGGTTGGTTTTTGTGGTGCTGGGATATATTTATGTGTTTTATCTGTATGTCAATATAAGAAAGCAGAGACATAAACCCTCCCGTGTACTTGGCTATTCTAAAATAAACCCACACAGCCACATATTCTGAGGGAGGTCACACGGATGCTACAGCCGTAACAAGTGCGAGTGTCCCTGCTCGCAGCCTGCTGCGCTGGCCTGTGCTGTCCCCGCAGGTGCGAGTCCGGGGTTACGTTATTCTGGGGGTGCCCTGTGATCCCCACGTGCAAACCTGATATGCATCCGCATCCCAGAGCAGCTCCTGGTCCTTTAGGTGTACGTTAGGTACTTCAGCCGTGCTGCTGGATAGGAGCTCGGTGCTAATTCGCACCGGCACTTCTGTAACTCTTCCTGGCATCCATCTGCGTTTAGGCACCAAGCTGCAACGTGTCCCCTGGACCTGCAATGCTCTTTACTCTGCATCTTGCTTCTATCGTCATGGCGGTCATTTGCTACACCAAAATAGTCCTTAAAACCTCGCACAAGTAACAGATCCTTTTGTTTTTAGTGTTTTCTCTCCTGGGTAGAAAACAAAGTTTGGCAGCAGTGAGCCAGACTTTGCAACTGAGAGGTTACTTTTCCTATTGCAGTTTTTGCCCAAGAGGGAAAATGGTATCTTAAATTAAGAAGTGCCCCATGAATCAGTCCCCACACGATGGTGTGTTTCCACTGGCACCCTGACACCTTTGGAAATCCAGAGCCTGGCTCGGACCTCTCGCTTTGCCACTCATCATAAAGCAGGAGTGATTGTGCGTGAAAGGAGGTGCCTGGATGTGAAACCAGCTGAGAAATATCCTGGCCACTTCTCTTTTCCCATCAGTAGATATTGCTTCAGTTCCCATTTCCTAATACTGCTGCTTTCATTGGCTTCAGGCCCTTTTCACCAGTTGCTTGCCAAGGATTTGTGAGCCTTGGACCAAGACATACTTTAGCTATTTTAAATGAAATCTTTGCTATTCCTATTGCATTTTGTCTTCAAATGGGCATTTATCATCCGTTCTACAATTTTTTTCCCTCTTTTATGATGACTAGCAATGCAAGCTAGAGTAAGATATTTACACTGTGCTATCTGCAGGGCTCTGGCCATGGAAATAATCTCTGTCCTCCTCACCTCTTGCCTACACCCAACTTTTCCCCACTCTTCCTTTTAGCTAGACCCTTCTGCCAGCTTTCTACCAAACCTTGTACCACTTCCCTCTCCTTTAATATTAAACGGACACCAACTTGTATCTCAAATACCCTGTAAAATTTGTGAGTCTCAGACCATTAGAAAATTGCTCAGATACTTGCAGTGAATCAGACCGGAGTTGGCCAAGCGATACCTGCAGTCACGCTACCGTCATCTCATCACTATATTGCTGCTTCTGCAAGTTTGTAGCTTTTTGGGTATTTAATTAGTGCTGGTTCCACCACAGTGCCCAGGGGCCTCATTTTCCACCGCGGGTGGTGCTGCCATTTTGGGATCAGAGCTCACAACAGTGAGGAGGGGGAGGAAAGCAGCTCTCCTGATGGTGCAACACGCACCCGGCGTCTGGGTGTTAATTCTTGCTCCTACAGTGCTTGTGCTTGCTCTCCCCTAGGCTGTTAGACCGACTGTACCTCGTATCTGTACAGAAGCTAGTGCAATGCAATGCTGATTTTGGCCAGGAGCCTTGGTACTGCTTCAGCATAAAAATTCAGTAAGAATTTGCTTGTTTCCAAGAGACCCTTCATCAGGCACTACCAGAAAGGAGCAGACTCAGACCCAAGCTGCTTTTGGGCTCTGACAGCCCAACGCTGCATCACCGAGCTGGTCCCTCCCCACGCCGGGCATCCCTGTGCCCCACCGCCAGGTATTGCTGTCGCCAAAGCTCCTCTCATAAACCAGCTTGGGCACTGTGGTGGTTTGCACCCTGATGGCAAACCAGGTAGGAAATCAGTAGGAAAGATCAGGCTGGAAACGGTGGGGGTTTGGGACCTGGCTCCTGAGTGTGCTCAGCTGGCCCCGCAGCAGCAACGGTCTCAGCTGCCTGATTACAAGCAACTGTCCCAAAAACCCATGACCTTTGCAGCTACTATTTTCAGAGCTGTAAGGAAAAGGAAATAGGAAGTAGAGATGCTGTAATGCATTTTTGTACGCTGCTGGGTTCTGGTTTGCTCCAGTGTGTTGCTGTTTACCTTGGGAGTGATTTTTTTGTTTTCATTTGCATTTGCATGTTGTAATCGGCAGCTGCAGCTCTTCACCCGAGCTCAGCACTCTGCCATACTCTGGGTTTTCCGTGGGGCAGTTTAGCCAGGGGCATGTCTCAGTAGCTGCATCCTGCTATCAGCAAGGGTTTTGCAGTGGTGCTATTTAGCACAGGGAGGAAGGAGAGGAGCCAGTAGGTCCGTTTATCTGAAAGCAGGGCTCCTGGGGCAGCAGGGCCAGCTCTACAAAGCCCTGGCTGCGGGCTGAGCGGGGTCTGCCCCTGCGGTGATGTGTAGCAGAGCCAGGCTGGGAGCCTGCATCACATCATGCTCCTCTTTGCACCAGGTACCCCGATACCGTTTGAAATTTTTATTGTTTGTTACCGAAGGATAAAAGTGGTTGAGAGAAAGTAGAAGTGCAATCCCGATGGTGGGGATGCACTGGTTTGCTGGTATCCTGGGGTTAGAGAGGAGACCCCAAGCTAATTTACTGGGACACTGGGTTGAGAAGTAAGAGCAAGTAAACTACACGCTCTGGGTTTTAGTAACTCTTGATCTGGGGTTTCTAATGCTTGTTTTAGAACTACATCTAAGGAAGCGTGCATCTTGTTGTTTGAACTACACGTGGCTTAAAACTGCTGCAGTCATTCTTGGCTTTAATTCCATTTTACCCACAGAAGATTAGTAAATAAACATAATCATTTCCATGTAGTGGGTGCTGTGGGCTATCATTGATTGGCATGAATCAAAATAATTGAAGAGCATTACTGAGTGTCCTGAGAATGAGAGGAAAACATTACTGGTGGAGCTCTCTGCACAGGTGAGTCTCTAGCACAGTGGGAGTGTTGCATTTTAAGACAAAATGAAACTGTTTCTTCCCTCCCACCCCCACCCCCCCATTCATAGACAGAAGCCAAACTCATACTGGCTCTAGGCTTTCCTTTTCTGTTTTTCTCAGTATTTCTGGTTTTTCCTCTCTTCCTTTCACTGTACCTGTTCTCTTCTTTGTTTCCACTTTACAGGACACTTTTCCTGTGCGTATTTCTCCTGTGCTCCTCTTGCAATGCTCGGGATGGGGGCCAAGCCTAGGGGCAGGTAATGTCTGCCCCTGTGTGAACGGGAATATCATGCAAACAAGGAAAGAACTTCCAAGGCACCGAATGCCTCTTCCTAACCTGTCTGTGCCAATTGCCCTCTGCTCCTATATACTTCAGTAAGAAATAAGGAATTGTCTACTGTGGCTTATTCTAGTAATAATGTGCATTAAAAGTGCCTTCACAGGAGCTTCCCACATTGTGCAGAGGGCAAGGGATCTCTTGAGCTTTAGTTTTCTGCATCTAGATTATTTTAAGAGGCTTCCTGAGAAATTAAAAGCCCTTGTGAGCACAGCTGCAATACCACCAAACCCCAGCGCAGGCAGGGCTTCTCAAGACTTTGCAGAATTGCTGGTTGTGCTCTCCTCGGCGTCCCTCTGGAGACAGAAACAGGGGTGAGCAGATGGACCTCTGCATCTTCCGGCAGCACCAGCCTGTGAAGGTTATTTCCCCCTTCCAATTCAGTGAAAGCTTTTGGTCTGATATTTCTTGGTTAGAGGGTGGAGGGTTTCTTGTTATTGATGATTCAGCTTTCCCCAGTAAGTTTAGAGTCCATTTTTTGGAGTTTGATAAAGCAAATATTAAGGCAGCACCTCAGTGCATAGAATGCCTCAGCTAGCGTGAAAGACTTGGGTAGAAATGCCATGTAAAGTCTGGTTGGGATTCGCCTCTGCTGTTGAAGCTGATATAGGTGGTTTCACCTGGGAGCTTTATGCTGCTGCACTTCTGCGCAGCAGAGAAACATCATACAACAAGTGAGGGAACGGCCACCGATAGCTGTATTTCTATGGCTGTGAGGTGTGGAAGAACAGGGCACTTACTACCAGACCTTAACTGAGACATAATCAAAATTTAACAGGAAAAGAGCTCTTCTGAAAGCATGGTCTGGAAGCCAGCTGCTGATTAAAGAAAGATGATAAACAGATGGTAAATCAGTGCACTAAGCAGGAGGAGAAAGCAAAGAACTTCTTGTGAACTGCACCACCTGCAATGATCTACTTGCTATGGAAGAACATAGCAGAGTAGTCTTGTAGGATAATTCACGTGGGAAGTAACCTTGGGAGGACTCTAGTCCAACCTCCTGCTCAAGCAGGGTGAGTCACAAGGTCAGACCAAGTTGCCCCGGGCTGTTTCCAGTCAGGTCATGGAAACCTCCAAGGATGGAAACCTTCCTGGGTGACCTGTCCCACTGCTGGACTGTCCTTGCAGGAAAAAACATCCCCTGATATCCAGGCTGAACCTGTCATTTCAGCTTTCCCCCCTTGTCTCTCGTGCTCCTACCATGCACCCTCGGAAGAGTGTGGCTCCGCTTTCGCAATAAGCCCCTAGCAGGAGGGTGCTATGAGCCTCTCCTCCAGCAGAACAAGCCCCCTTTGCCCCCTCCTCTTACAGCAAGGGCTCTGTGCCCCTGGCTGTGCTGGTGGCTTCAAGCTTTTTGGGCTTATTGCTCCAGTTTGTCAATGCCTTTCTTGTACTGGGGGTGACTCAAAACTGGACGCAGTATTCTAGGTGTGATCTACGGAGTGCTGGGTGGAGGGGATAATCCCTTCCTTCGATCTACTGGGTATGCTCCTGTTTGCGTATATTGATGTGGAGGTCTGAATAGACAAGCCTGTGTGAACTGGAGACCTGAGCAGGAGGTGACCTGGTACTCTGAGGTGGAGAGCAGAGCAGAAGTGCTGAATTGGGGCATGCGTCACGGACACGCTGAATTCGGCGTTCCCATGACTGCAGCAGATAGGGCCGGAGCTGCCCCTCTGTGCCTCCACAGCAC